GGCAATGGAGGGAGACCTTGTCTCAAAAACAAAACATTAAAAAAGAAAATCTTGTGAGCATTTGTTTTCCTTATCCTGACACTTTTGTGTCAGGATAACACGACCCCTCTTATGCCTCCTGTCTCTACTTCCTCTCATACTAGCTAGATGATCCTACATCCTCCCTTAGGGCCCCTCACTTTTTCAACATGCATTAATATTTTCATTCAGTAAATAACTGAGCATCTCTTTTTTCAGCCTTCTCCCAGGGACTGATGAAGAGGGAATGTATCCACTTAAGGAAGCAAGAGTAGATTTATGTCATAGCAGCGCAATTTGTCATAGCTAAATCTTGGAAACAACCCAAATGCCCATCATGAGAAATGGATAAAGAAGATATACTTTTACACAATGGAGTATTACTCAGCTATAGAAAAGGATACATTTGAGGCTTTTATTGGTAAATGAATACAATTAGAGAACATACTCTTTAAGTGAAATAAATCGGACCTGCATGTGCAAACATTGTATTGTCTTGCTAGTGTAAGAACCTGAAAGAGTAAATAAAATTTGAAAGGTACAATAGATAGTAAGAAAAGGGAAAGAATTTGTAAAAAGGAAGGAAATACTGAGATAAGATGGACAGGAGAGGTGAGGGAGAGAAGTTCATCTATGGATGTTAACAGGATGTGTTGGATAATTGTAGTGTTGATTTCTGTTGGTCTATGAAAAGGAGTAGTTAATACATAATTTTTTCTCTTCTTAATTTCTTATGACTTTTCCAGTTGTGTGTGCATATATCTGGTAATGTAAACAACTAATTTGAAGACAACATTATGCAATACAACAAATACTGTGAGGAGCTGGGGAGATGGCTCAGAGGAATAAGCGTTTCCCTGGCAAGCGCAAGGGCCTGAGTTCAATCCCCAGTTCCGCAAAAAAACCCCACAAAACAAATACTGTGAAATTTTTATTAGTTTGTTTAGTGTAATTCTGTATCATGTATATTTTTATTATCATTATTTTATATT